ATGTTTTGAGTTCGTTTATCCATATGTCTCAGATTCCCTGTGCACGTGCAACTAAACGAAAACTGGTATGTTCCTGCTTCCCTTACCAAAAATAAAAGCTTTCCAACGAACTCAGAAGCAGATGTTCTGGCATCAAACCTTCAAAACTCAAATTCGATCTTGTTGAACTTATACTGCACTATCGCAACTTGAAATCTGAGTTCACGTCTGTGTCATAACCAGTAAGTGTATTCTTCTTCTGAGTACTGGACACGACAGCGGCTACGATGCAGCACTGCGTCTACCTCAAAGTTGAGAATTGTGTGGTGCTCGGAAACGCTGTAGCCTTCGCATACAACTCGCAGGGAACCTGTCATGTCCTTCTCGAGGAATATTCTATCACAGATCCCTTTACTAGATTAGAATTTGTACACAATGAGCAAAATCAGTCACGAGAAGCTGCTATAAGATGTCTTGACTTAGTGCAGATTTTCACTAGATCTTTTTATCTATCGACTGGATAGCAACTTAAACTACGCAATGCTTTTCAAATACATTCTGCAGCAACATTCATAGATTTTAGAGGAAGGCGCTATCTTTCTAAGTTTTGACTTACATGTTGAGTTGATCCATGTATATATCGGTCACTTTGTTGTATTGTTATTTTGTTTTGTGTCTTGTTCCTATGCGAATACTGATAAATATCTTTCTGTTAGTGTTTCAAAATGACTTGCGGTATGTAGCCACCTCATACCTTTCATCAATTTTCTTTTACAAAGAATTTAAAATTTTAGCATTTTCATAGATATTTTGACAACATGTCTTCTGATGAAGAATATACTCCCAACTATTTGCATCTCTCTCTCAAAACTTAGAAAAATCGTAAGACAGTTCAATATTGGAGTGGAAGATGAGGTGCCGTTTGATTGAATCTTAAGGTCGTGAGTGAACTGTTGCATTTAGAAATATCTCAAATCGACAATGGCGAACAACAACATCAAGATTAACATAAGCAAATAAGGAACAAGCAAACTAATATTGATGGTCTGCAGACATTTTCCGATTCAGTAGTGCGGTCCCTCATCGCAGTTGTAAGGGAGCAGGCCAATATCATGGCAGGCTTTTCACTAACTGTAAGCTATTACATGAGGGCCTGAGAAGCATTTGACAACAGTTTTTCAGATGAATATCATTCTGACAAAGCAGAGAGATCAGGATAAGGAAATGAAGAGGACTTCACACTACATAGCGAGAAATAAGGAAAAAACCTTGCCGAAGGGATATAGTTTTAATAGAAGCAACATCTCTAAAAATTGGCAATTCCAAGCATCCCCACCGTTCAAGGTTCTTGAATATCAAATGAATAAACGAAAGGCATCGTATTTTCAGGAGGCCAATATGACTGATGTCTTAGAAAAATGGAAGAAACCTGCTCGCGCCCATAAACATGATCATTTTCTGCATGTTCCCGATTTCCTTAGGCACTATTTCGTCAATGTAACTGATCACTGCTAAATGAAATCTTACCTTACACATAATTACTTAGGCTTGTGAACCGGTAGAGGAAATTTAAAAGTATGCGTGTAGGCAAACTGGCAAAAAAAGGAAAAGATGACAAACTTGAGGATCTCCTGGAAAGCACTGTAGATTTCCTAATAAGTAGGTCGTTCCGCACATTTTGTATATCAAATCGAATAATTTATTCAGGGTTTGTACTGGACGCTTTTGGCCTCCCGGACAAAGAACTTCTACAACCTGCGTCCGAATACGAACGCAACCCAAACAGGTAATCCACTTTTGAAAGGCCTTCCTTGCACTACAAATTTAGGTGATGGTCGAACGTGGCTGAGAACAACGAGGAACGCAGACGAATTTACGACGATCTCTCGGAGGCGCGCATGCATTGGATTGGATTGACACGTATAGCCATGGGAAGAGCACTGTAACTTACATTTAACGCGAAGATGACAATCAATTATCACGCCTAATCAGCACGGATGTGCGTGCTTACCATCTTGATGCTGACCGAGCATTTCTCCTCGCATCAAAGGTAAAACTTTCGTCCTTAGAAGTTTACGCCGTTGATACTGATGTTATTTGAAGCGCATCATGACATCCACCGTGAGCACTGACGTGAACGTTATCGAAAAAACGAATTCCGCCGACATTGCAGTTGAGGAAACGGATGCGAACGACACATATTAGTGCAATTCCAGTTGTTTTTTGTAAAGTGTCTTCTCGATGTAGTTTATTTGAATTGCGCTGATGTAGATTTTTCCCTACCATGAAGTTTCGAATAAATACTATAGTATGATTTGTAAGTAAAAGTGAGAGGAGACAGCACGGTAACAGCGTAACACACAAGTTTAAAGTATATACTACATACTTCTGTTCCACTATATATATGTACTTACGAGGGTGAGCCACAGCTTGAAGTAAGGATCGGGGCATTATGATGTCTTCCGCACCCCGATAATGACCGGAGAATGCCCCGCACTCTTGCCCCGATGCAAACACAGGTGTTCCAAATTTACCCCAACACCGATTTCGTGTGACGCGCAGTTGGTCAATGAGGTCACATCATTTTAACCTGCGGGTGACAACTGCGAATGTCTGAGTACTTATTATGTGCCTAACAGGCGAACACTGGAGTTCGCGCGTCAAACCGCGACGTCGCTGCTGGCTGCGCGCGCGACGTCGCCATGTCGACGATGCTATTTTGTAACAGCATAAATGAGTAGCTCTCAATGCATGCATAACTATATGGCACGAAATTTCGTAAGCGAACGAAGAGAGGCTTGTTGAAACAAATATGAAAAATTATGAAAAACTCATGTGAATGGAAGGTGTAATAAGCATTTTTCCCAAAAATTTTGCATAACTGGTGAGTGAAGATGTAAATTCAAATGACTCGCTGTAACGCACAGATGAGGATACGGTATGAAACTTGGTGTACATGCACACGGGCCTGTACGGCTTAAATGAGAAGTTTCAATGAAAAATTGTGTGAATGAAGGCTGCGGCAAACTTTGTTCTGAAATTCTCCCGCTTTCAAAAATATGGAAAAATGGCTCGTTTGCAAGCAGAGGTGACGAAATCGTACGAGATTTGATGTGTATATGCGCAGTAGGCCTATGCAACAAAGTATGAAAAATTATGAAAAACTTAAGTGAATGAAGAGCGTGCCCAACTTTTTTCCAAATGAGGCTGTCATTTGATAACCTAATGACAACCTGAGGTTGGCAAAACTTTCAGTCACATAATTTTTTCATAATTTTCACATAAATCTACTTTACACTTAAAGCTTAGTATATACTGATATTTTGGTATCAAATCTCCTCTCCTCATTGCTAGAGCCATAAATAGCTTCAGCAGCCCCATCTTAAGGAGGAAAGCGCGCTCCGATCGATATGCGCGAGGGCGGCTCACTGAGTCCTACAATTGGCGTTGCTGTAGTCCTTCGTCATTGCTTTTGCCTTTTTCCTTCCTCTTGTACACTTTTTTCATCCAATTTAGATTGTAGATTGTTTGCCTATAGATTTTACCGTCGGCTCCCCGATTGCTGCGAGGGCAGTCACGATGGTCAACAGATAATCAATTTAAAGGCAGTAACTCGGCAAATTTCCACCTTCCGGGTTTCTGCATATTTTACGCTTTTTCGACCTCCTTATATGTAACCCTCCGAGCACAAATCTGACAAAAACTCCGTTTTTCATCATCCCCTCCTGAAATTACGGGGACGAGTTTAGCATTGTCTGCCGTCATTCTCTGCCGTCAGAGACGCAGAGTGTACAGGTTGTCGTTTGTTATGACGTTGCAAACTATTCATTGCCGGGAAATGTGTATTTGTCATCATTTTTTCTGCATTGCTTTTGCTTCCATTAGGTTCAGATGAAGTTGATGAAAACAATCTGCGTATAGGTTAGTTCTCAGTAAGTTAGTAAGCGTTCCAAAATTGTTATCCGTTTATCAATATAACGTCAATACAGTAAACAGGTCGACGTTTCGGCAGGGTCGCCTTTTTCAAGACCTGGAAAGTGAGTCAGTAAATTCGACGCTCCAAGGGTAGACATACCTTCAGCGATACACTTCAAGTGGCTGTCTACCACTCTGACACTCAGTCAGGCCACTATATGCTAACTCTTGTGATGGAATGAGGTTCCCTTTTAAGGTCAGACTCAAATCCACACAATGATAAGAATGGGATGAGCTCACTACTGATAACCATGTTCTCTTCCTTTCTGTTCAGTTTGGGACATTTGGACGTGATCCAACAAGCCTCCATGGTCTTTCGTGCTGTAATGTCGGTTTCTTTCGAAAGGATAGCAACGTTAATTTGAAACTCTATGTCCTGATGGCAAAGCACACGATGTGCGCCAAAAGGCGTGGACAATCGCGATTTTCTCATTCCGTCCAAATGTTCGTTAATTCGTACATACAGCGGTCTTCCTGTTTTTCCAATATATTCTTCCCCACACAGTTTACAAGATATTAAGTACACAGCGCCACGACACATGCAATCTCCCGCTTTGTTAGAATTGCATATATTACAGTCTGTTTTTGAACAGGCTGGATCGTAACCTCTGTTACGCACCAGGCGCTGTTTGAGGTTTGGGGGTGGGACTTCGACAACTCTAAGCATATTTCGCAGGCCGGCTTTATGAACGCAGTTTCTAATCGCAGCGCTTAACTTATCCTATATGAATGGCATAAGGAATAACACCTTTTCGCAACTGACATCATTGAAAACTGTAGCATTATCCTTGTGACGAACGTTTGTGTTTTCGTTTTTCGACAGCAGGTAACCGTTTGCGTGTGCAAACGGTTACCTGCTGTCGATGCGGATTCTAGAGCAGGGCCCGGCACGAGGTCGGCAAAAGGGGTTTTCGAAAACGAATTCCCTTTTGACCCAAAATTTTTTAAACGATTTCCCCTTTGACCCAGAAACGGGATGGCTATGCTTGCGCAGTACACACTATATCAGAAAAACATTTATTAGAAAAAAAAACACCCATTTACGCTCACGCGCTAGTATTGATCTCTAGATACTGGGCGATTTGTGCGTTGTATGGCATACAATGGGCTTCATCGTTGTGATTCTGAGCATTGAATAATAATGAAACACTAAAAAACAATTGTGTAAATTCTCACCGATCCAACAAGCGGATTTCTCTCTTGAATATGAGTTGGAGCATGTAATGGTGGTGCAACGCTTACCACCCACGACATATGATGCATCAGAACGGTTGAGATTACATTTGACAAAACGCTGAAATGGCAAACATGACATGAACACCAATCAGGGAGTAACGCACTTACATTTGCTATGCTTCGTATCAAGTTTTTCCACCAGTCGTGTCAGTTGTCGACTGAAATCTGCTACAACAACGTTTTCATTGTGGTCGCGTTCGAGCAGGCCAACCAAATAGATGACGAAGTCGTGGAGTGTTATGTAGTTGACAAACTGATTTGCAAAACTCTATGCCTGAACGCTGACAATCAAGACCGATCGAATTACAAGGTCAAAACCTATCAAAAATTCATTGAAATCTTGGCCACAAACAGATACCGACAGATACCATGAAAGAAGATATACAGAACCCAATATTCGTATAGTGTTTACTTACCTTATGAACATTGAAAAAACACGTCGCCGAGCAGGCTGCCGCATTTGTGATGCGCATTTCGAGACGTGACATTTCCGCTTCAACGAGCGGTATATGCTAAATAAAGATCGTCACATCATAGCCTTCCCTTTCCAGAGCCGGACATACATCACGCGATGCCATCGCCTCGCGATCCTCCGAAAAGACAGCAATGACGAGTACCTTGCATGCCGATCATCTTGCATTGGCGTTGTGCTAGTTCCAAAGGACTAATCGCGACTATACTATCACAACCGAAATGCAAGGTGACCCGTATACAACGGGCTTGTTTCAACTGTCTTGTCGAGTGGATCGCAAAGTAATGAAGTCGCATTAGGTATGTGATGGAGACTTGCACCATGCATGAAGATTTGTCATTACCTGAACAGGAAATTTTTCTCAGCCGAATTCAGCATGATCCCAAGCCCAACTTGGCGGCAATGTTCGTCATCAGTCTGTGAACCACATGAACTCAAACGTGAACGCGACTTTCAGTGTGTCAATGGAGCTGAAAAGGCAGAATAATAAGAAATTTCATTTTAAAACAAAGGAGTTACCAAAAAAATCTAGCATTTGAACATCAATTTTTGGTCTAAGGAACCTACATTGTTCGCAAAGATTTGTTTTGTGAGACATTTGTAAGCGACGATCGCGTGAGAGACGAAACGCAGTAAAAGGCGAGAACAGTCGAGCTTCCTCATTTGTTTCATCGTCAAGTTGTAAACTAGCATTTCGAATCTGAACCAAATGGAGAGACCTTTTTATGGAAAAAACTAAATTTTTTCACTCCCTTACTCGTTTAAATGCTTCAGGAGGAGATGTTGATAAGATACAACCGTGCTTTTGGTGAAGTCCGTTTATACTATCCATGGATCGCACGGCGATATAGTGTGATTCCAAATCCGATGATTCTAGCGAATCTGCTGCAACTCGCATATCCCTAAATGAAAAAGTAAGAAAAAAAACGGCTTCGAAAAACACATATGATGATTTCGATCCAGGTTAGACTGTTGCATACAGAAACTCCACTCACTTTGAGCTCAATCGTGGTATCATAGATAAGCGACTGACAAGAAGCCGTTGATCATCGCTAAAAATCAGACCATTGTACACTCGAACTCTTTGATTTATAACCTAGCTACTATCTCAAAGCTTACGGAATGATGTGAACCAAACAGCATTTGTGAAGTTGTCGCTATATCTCGGCGCCGTTTGAGAAACTAAACATTTCAAAAATTCATAATAGGATTTTATTTGTAAAGAAAAAAAAAACAATCGCTATTTCCCAGCGCTGTTCAAGCACGAAAATATTTCAGTAAATTCACAAACTAATTGTCCAACTATGATTGAAATGATATGAACCTGTTGAAGCTGTTGCATTATTTGTTATAACATCAACATGCTTATCTATTGCGGAAAATCACCCTCACCAGGCAGTGCCGGTCCCAGGATTTCGGACCGGGGGGGGGGGGGCGCGGAAAAATTTTTTTCAAATGAAGGTGCGTGGAGTTAGCCACGCACTCCGAAAAAATTTTAGGAGTACTTCTCAAAATTTTTGCGGGTCCCCAACCCCTAAAATCTGGAAAAAGGGGGCGTGGCGTCGGCCACGCCCCCGAAAAATAATTTTTTATAAGGCTTATTTGAATTTTTAAAAAATTTTAAAAATTATTTCAATTATTTACAAAAATAAACAAGTCGTTTGCACATTTTCATAATCCATATAGGTAAGTTTCAAAAATTTCGCGACCCATTCTCGGAGGGGGGGGGGGCGCGCCCCCCTCTCCCGCCCCCCCCCCCCCTCGGACCGCCACTGCTACCTGGAACTTTTTGCAGGCCGATAACTGAGCATTTGATGGCAGAACTCTGTTTCCAACCAAAACAATTGAAGCAAGAAAAGAAGAAACAAGATAAAATATGAAAAACGCACTGGTTGCGCAGCCAAGTCGGTGCTACGAAATATAAACGCCGATTAAAGGACTCAGCGATACGCCGTTCGATTGGAGCGCGCTTTCCTCCTTAGGAAACGGGACTGCTGAGGCTATTTTTGCCTCTAGCAATGGGGAGAGGAGGAGGTTTGAAACCAGATTTTCAGTATATACTAATCCTTGGGCATAGAGTAGATTTATGTGAAAATTTTGGAAAAATTTTGTGAATTGAGAGTTTTGCCGACCTCAGGTGGGAATTAGGTCCGCAAATGCCGACCTAGTTTGGAAATTAGTTAAGCACGCTCTTCATTCACATAAGTTTTTCATAATATTTCAAACTTTATTACTTAGTCCTATTGCGCATATACACACAGAATACCGCGCGATTTCGTCGCCTCTGCGTTGCAATTGAGCCATTTTTCCATTTTTTTGGTAACGGGAAATTTTCGGAAAAAAGTTTGCCACAACTTTTAGTCACATAGTTTTTCAATGAAACTCCTCACTTAAGCCCTGCAAGCCCGTGTGCATGTACTTACCAAGTTTCATACCATGTCGTCATCTGTGCGCTGTAAACGAGCCATTTGAATTCACATCTTCATTTACCAATTTTGCAAAACTTTTGGAAAAAATGCTTATTACTCGTTCCGTTAACATAAGTCTTTCATAATTTTTCATACTGCGTTTCCACTAGCCTCTCTCCGTTCGCTTACAAGATTTGGTGCCATATCGTTACGCATACATTGAGAACTAGTCATGTATGCTGTAACAAATAGCATCGTTTGAACGACGTCGCGCGCGGCAGTTAGCGACGGCGCGACGTGACGCGCGCGAACTCTGCTGTGCCTCTATTGAGGCATGTTGAGATAACATGACATGCTGAGATACGCAGAGTAAGGCAACGGCTGTGGAAAATTGACCACTCAGAGTCAGTGCAACGCTATTCGCTGCTCTTTTTTTGCATAGTAGACCTTCTGATAAAGTTATAACGCTATGATATTCATTCTATGCAAGTCCAGATGAGAAGGGCTCAGCTTTGCCATCGTAACCATCAATTTTTTTCCTGGGCTTCGCCCCGGAACCCGAAAAACGATTTCTCCTTTGCTTTTTGGCCCCAAAACGATTTCCAGCTTGGCATTTGCCGACCTCGTGCCGGGCCCTGTTCTAGAGTGCTATTTGAAGACACTCTTTTTGACGTTCGCAGCATGTTTCTGATAATGCTAAGTTTCATTTGAATTGGGTGTGCAGAGGAGTAGTGTACAAGTATGTTCTTATTGGATGGTTTTTTATATACGCGTGTTCTGTACTCTCCTCTGCATAAGCAAATCTGGACATTGAGGAATGGCAACCATCCCTGCTTAGGCGTTTCCCTTGTGAATTTGATGTCAGTTGATTGAGCATTGAGTATGTCAAAGCATAGATCCATTTTCGCTTGTGTTGGACACACGATGATAGTATCATCAATGTATCTGTAGTAAAGAACAGGTCGGCGGTTGAGAATTGGTTCTTCTATCTTTGACATAAATGCTATTGCTAAAATAGGTGCCAAACGCTGGCCCATTGCGAGTCCCCTAGTTTATTTATAATATTGTCCCGCCCATTTGAAAACCGAACATTCTAAACATTCTCTCAACAATGCCATACTTGCTGTATGTTAAAGCCATAGAAATTGATACTGTTACTCTTTTCGGACAGTAATTCGAAAACGGCTTCTAATGCATTGGAATTCGAGACATTTGTAAATAGAGAAGTGACGTCAAAGGCTTCTATATTTGTATTTGTGAGTGTATTTGCCACGTCGGTCTTCACTGTTCTCAAACAATATAACCGCACAAGTCGAATCCCTAATCTTACGCCAGCGCAAAGAAGAGGTTTGAGAGAACTTCGAGAACTCTCAGCCACGAATATCTAAATCGGGATCACTGGTAAGGGAGGTGAATTCATAGTTATACCAAAACAGTTGGAGATCGCCATAATACAACAGCATCTCCAAGACGACGCAACATATTGCGTATCTTCTGAGCGAAAATTCACAAAACAATATAAAAAGTTGAACAAGGTCTGGACTGAAATGGCGCGAACAGCAGGCCTCGCAAAGCGAACTGTATCCCGCCTCAAGATTGATATACCAGTCTGTCCTGTACTATACGTACTCACTAAAACACACAAATTACCATCCGACTTAGTCAATTCAGAAAATCCTTCGGACTACAAAGTTCGCCCTATCATCAGTAACGTCGGTGGTCCAACACAACAGAAACTTGTGAATTCCTCATTCTGAATGTTTTAACATCACAAATGGGAAAAAGCAAAGAGGTCAAGCCTGTAGAACATTGAAATAGAGGTGTTTTCGAGTCATCTTTCCTCCAAATGGGTTATAGCTGAGAACTATGAATATGAGGCTCATTTCCTGTGTCGGTCTTGTGGAAAACGGTCGACTTCAGTTTCTTACAGCTAACATGTTGGAAACCACCCGCAACTCTGACATTTTCACAGAGCCATAAGTAAAAGTGAGTTTGTCTTGTTTGCGTACATCGTTACAGTAACAATACGACAGTTATTTTAGTGAAGAATGCTGCGAAATTATGGTATACGTAAGCATGGTCGCAGAGGAGTTTCTTTTTTTGCTACGTCATTTGTCTAGATATGTGTCCCTTGCTATCCTGCTGTCCTATGCTTTTTGTCCCTTGCTTTTGCTTTAGTTGGCTCACAACATGATTGTAGGTCTCTCACCACAGTGACACAGTTGGCAGAACTGCGTACGTAGAGAGACTTGCCTCTTGAATAGGTTTTCTCAATGTGTATGTAGTGAAGCTGTCGTTCTTGCTTGTGTGTATGTGCAAATTGTCCTACTGCCTTTCCTATGTCTTTTAAAAAGGACATTGTTCTCATCATCTTCTTTGTTCTTCGTCAGTAATGTGTGTACCTGTAACGATCACTGTTCCTTTCATCACCATCACTATGTTTCTGCTCGTATAAGCTTGGAACTCATACTGCAGTTTTTTGATGGCGATGCGCAGAAATTTTGATAAATGTGAGAAGTGTTGTACTCATCTTGCTGAAGAAGTGCTCGCCACTGCGCATTCTCTATTTGCGTTTTTCTACGAGCAATTTGTTTTGTTTTAGACTCGATATACCGGACGCATAACAACCACGAACTTTCATGGGAGAACAGTGGGTATTTTCAATATTTTTCACATTTTCACACTTTCAATTATCTTACATTTATATATATGCTGCCACTTTTTTATTTGTGCTTCCTCTACTTTTTTTTATACATTTCTCTACCCTGGTTAGTCTGGTGTTCCATCTGCCGTATCTTCATTACCTCTGATCCGTATCTGCGAACGGCGAATGATGAAGGCCGCAACGATTTACTTTCGCCAAATTGTTCTACAGCGCTCTTGTGCTTGAGCTGTGTCGTCTCCCCTCCATTGCATTTGCGGCGGACTTCGTCAACTCTTTCGAGCACCCTTTCTCCACTCAGCTCTGCCTGTGTGAGTGCATTCAAATGCATGGTGGACATGTGCGCATAGATGGAGTAGGTCGCTGCCGGTCTGAAAAGATGCTTTGAAGGTAGCGCTATTTTGTCATGAAAGCGTCATCGCAAACGTTCTCACAAAAATATGTCCTTCGGGCAGTATAATCTATCTAATTGTAAGGCATTTTTGGTTTCGCACTGGCTAGTCCCACCTAGGGGACTAGCCAGTGGGATGTCCTTATGAAACAGCGGCTGCAGGAGATCTCGCGCAGTTTGTTATGAGCCGGGCTGTTGAAGGGTATTATCGGTTTCTTCTCTTCATCATCGTCTTCGTCCACGTCAAGAGCCTCGTGAGAGCATCTTCTAAGTGGACCCGTAATGTCAGCCTGAAAGAACATTTGAGGGGTGTGTGGCGAGGTTGTAAATAGCTGGTTCCTATATCTGGTCCCACGTGTGCTCGTCGGCAACATGATGTAAGCAGCTGTTAAATAAGTATTGGTTGTTGCAAAAATAATGTCCGTTTTGCAAATTTTCACTTTGGAAGGCTATAACTTCGTTCACTCTCTATATTTTTGAATGCAGTCAAGACCTTCAGAAACATCAAACCTTTCTTAACTTGGCGCGCCCCTGCCCATACTGATATCGCAAACGGGAAGAAAGCCATGCGTCAGAAAACTGAAAGTTTTTTTTCTGAAAACCTCGTCTTCAAGAGCTTACAACTCCCTTCAAGCTTTGTCCCTATGTCTGCTAATTAGCTTATTTTGTAGCCGCAGGCCAATTGTATACGTGTGTATAGAAAAAACTCCAACGAAGGAGTTCTGCGAAAAGAAAAGATAAAAATTCAAAAATGTTCACTCTTTTGAGCCTACTTGTTGTAGGCTTGTAAGTGCCCAATTATGAAAATTTGGAATTCTTCGCGCACTCAATAGCTAAGTTTCTCTTCAAATATTATAGTTAAGGTGTGCTAATTTCAAGCTGACAGAAATGGGCGAAGCTTTGGCGATTGTCTTAATTATGAGAAATTTCTGACCCATAGAATGCCAGCAGCGAGTGTCTATTTCGACGCGTCAATTTCTCAGTCCATATACCTCCAAAAATCTACCTAAACACGCAATAGGTAAACAATCTTCATCCAATATGTTTGCTATGTTTTCAGAAGAATTCGTTTATTTGCTCCTGTATTGTGGTCACAAAAGTGGAAGCTATGAGATTCTGATTTTGAGTGCGGATGTGGAAAATGCTGGTGAAATCCTCACAAGTGAGGATAGCAGCTTAATTCCACCGATGTGAGAAAGTACATGAAGAGAGCTTTCCAATGATATGCAGTTGTTATATCGAGAAAGAAAGTCTGATGGGAAAAAAGTTGTTTGGAATATAGGTCTAGAAAAACGGACATTATTTTTGCAACAACCTAATACTTCGCGTACCTGCTGTCATTGGCCAGTGCACCTTGTTCTATTGCAAAATATAGGTGCTTCTTTATAGGCTTTATCCAGCTTTTGATTACCGCGTAATCTTTTTTCTTTGCGGCCTTAACTTGATCACTTCGTAATTGTCGGTAAATCTTGGAATTTTACCGCGCGAAGGTTTTTGTCTAGATATCTGGCCAGATGCCATCTATCCAACTTCCATTCGATCTTCTCACCGAACTCTGCATTATAGAGGTTGATCTCCTTCCCAAACACGGCGCTGCGATCTGTTGCTACCGACCGGATGGGGTAGAGTGCTCTCGAATGCAACCACCGCAGCATCCTGCGGAAGCTTTCTTTTTCCATTCTCTGACTGATTTGACCTGCAAAAAAAATTTCGAGAATGATTGTGTCATCCTTCTTATTCACCTGTCTCGAAACGATTCACTACTTTCGAGTAAATGCAGAGTCTGGTCTTGAGGTCCACCGCTAAAACCTTGCAGAGTTCTCACTATGGCCCCTTGAATCATAAGCGCCATCGACGGCAATGTCCCAGGCGGCTCCTCCATCATTCTAAATTGAATGTAATTTGCTAATTTTTGTCTTGTTCATTTTTTGACTTGGTAAGCGGCCTTAATCTGTTCAATGGCACGATCCTGATGTTTTTCATAAACGGCCATGATAGATGGCCTTGTCTCGGTGAAGACTCGTCCATACGCCGACATCGAGGGGGCCAACTCTCTGATGCCCACTTTATCAATTTCTGAAACGATGTATTTTGATGTTTGATCAGGAAATGAACACAATTTTACATTCATACGGACTCCCGTAGTTACTGATCCTATACACGCTAGCGCATTGCAGTTGCGCAGCTTGTCGATTCTGTCGAATTAATTTTTTCCTGCCCATCCCATTTTTTTTCTGGGGTCTGAACCCTTTGTGAGGAAATAGATGATGGGATTTGAACCCGAGGCATCGAGACAAACTCCAGTTTCGCCGCTTTCGCACTCGCATCGAGTGAGGTGAAAAAGCTCTAGGAGCTTTTTCCCCTGCACGACGAAGAACTTGTTCTTCGTCGTGCAGGGAAGCTCAGGTTTGGTCTCATTCAGTGTGGGCCCGTCATCAGTATCGTAATCCGGCTGTTCATCTGGGCAGTAACTGGATCTGCTCTAAAATAAAAAAAGGTTTGTGGTTTGTGTGAACTAATTTTATGTGTAAGTGCTTCTCCAACCGCGGTTTTGGCAGAAATCGTAGAGGGTCTGCTGAATTCGGTCTTTGCTGGAGATCGCAAGTGTTTAAGTTGAGCAGGCGTTGCAGATACTGAGCAATCCATAGGTTCATCGACAACGGCTTTGGCAACTATAGCCTCAGCAACTTCAGCATTGGATGGTCTTTCTTGGTTGCTGCCTGAATATCACTGTTCTAGCTTTGTGTGATATTTGAGCAGTGACCAAGATTGGTATCGATCTTTATTTCTCGGCTAACGTTTCGGAGTACAACTCCTTCTTCGGAGCCTGAAAGATCAAAGACTATGCGAAACTGTTCTTGTAAGCACTCAGTCACCTAACAGATACTTTTCAGCACAAGGTAGTTGCAAAATGAAGAGAGAGACCGTAACCAAGCCAATGCTTACCTCAATCGCCAGCAATGGAGACTACGAGCAGACCACCTAATGGATAGCGCCGTTACTGTGTACTGCTATACCACTATTTATACAGCACAGATGACCTGACCTGACCCAGACCCGTAGGTCAAAAGCCACAAAGAGCTTGATACGGTGCTAATTCGGTCGTCACGGCAATGCTCTCTTCTTTGCGGTTTATTTTTGGAGTTTTTGATGCTATCCAAAATGCCTCCAACGTCTTTCGCGCTACTGTATCAGGCTCCTGTGATAAGATGGTGACAGCTACGTCATAGTGTTAATGTCATGGCGTTGCCTGCGGTGGGCACCTAGAGGGGTAGACAATTTCGATTTTTCGAACCCGTCTAGGTGCTCCTTGACCCGTACGCACAAGGGCCTGCCGGTTTCCCCTACATACTGATCTCCACATGTCTGGCACGTAATCAGATATACTACGCTAGACTCCATGCAATCCCCCTGCTTTCCAAATGGACAAATGACGCAGTTTGGAATTGTGCATAACTGGTCGTAGGCACGATTTTGTATAAGTTGTTTCCTAAGGTTAGGGGGTGGTATGTCTACGACTCTTACGCCATTTGCGAGCCCCGCGTGCTGCAGACTTTTCCTGATTGCTCTGCTAATTTCGTCACAAATGAAGGGAACGCAAAACGGAATTTTTGGAGGCTGCTCAAGTGTGCGCGATCTACGGCCTGGCAAATGATTGGACTTGAACTGATTGCCTGTCATGGGGTAACCGTTAGACTGCGCGATCTGTGTGGAAGGGACAGGGTGTGGACGGACGTCGCGCGATCTGCTAACATACCTAAAGCTTTAGTGTCCCGCTTGAAGTGTGAACTTCCCAAATGCCCAGTTCTCTATCTGCTAGTCGAAACGCACAAACTCACGGCTTCATCTCTACTCTCCAACAATCCATCAGATTTTAAGGTCAGGCCCATAATAAGTAGTTTCGGCGGTCCCAACGATAGAATATCTTGGCTGCTAAATCTAGTTCTCAACCAGCTGCTTAGGTTCATACCTGCACATTTATCAAACACCAAAATGTTTCTCGAACATCTTAAGAATACGCAGTTCACTAGCGATTGTGTGATGGAGTCCTTCGAAGTTACTTCCCTGTGCACCAATGTTTCCAACGAGTCTGCCATGGAAGCCGTGTTTGAGCTTCTCATAGAACATCAGTGGCCGTATTCATCAACGAACCCTCGAGGTTAAAAGTTACCTCAGCTAGCATTTTAGTTTATAACCCGTATTCACAACATGATCGCAATGAAATTCTCTCATGGGTTAAGTCTACCTTGAGGTAGAAATGAACCTTTAAACGCATGAACCCGTATTCATCATTCTACCTGGAGGTTGAATTTTACCTCAATCATCATTTCTCCACCAACTTTCTATTATGCATCCAAGGTAGAATTTAACCCTAGAATAGCTAGGGTTAAAATCTATCTTGAATTTGCACATAAGAGTTGAACTCTTTATAAGGACCTCCTTCATTCTAATATATTATATCAATACTAGCTCAAATTTCACTTGTTTACTTACACGGAAACCTTTTTTGGTCGAAGTTACCTTCTTAGATGGGAATGTATAAGTTTAGCAGAAAACGCTCCAAATCTGTCTTATTTGTGGAACGTTCCTTGACGAGAAGTTGTGAGCATTTATTGCAGCATGAATTTACGTATACATTTAGGATGGAGTTGCTAAATCTCACTAGTCCTCAAATAAAGCAATAATTGTAAGACATATTAGGCTGGATACTAAGTTTTGCACCTAGTTTCATAAATTCAACCTCTTTGGTTATGGCGCATTCAAACTTTGGCAATATGTAAAGAGTAATATGTGACACAACTGCGCGCAGATTGCTCAAATTTTGACATGAAATAGGAAAGTTTCAGGCATTTTTCGAAAACTAGTAAATTTTGAGAATTTCTGAAGTTTCAAGCTGAAATGAAGCCGTTACCAGCCTAGACCATGCGCAGTGAACCGGAATCTGTACGAATTATGGCTAGGAGTTGACTCATTGGCTTAGTAAGAAATAAACAAAGGGAGTCGAGATTTGGCGCCCCACAAAGTCGACCAAGTCGCAGTACGCAAGCGCTGCTGGGGACGACCGTCAATGACTAAAGAGTCAGAAGTCTCAATTTTCGCCGAGACTTGACATAAGGCTACTTGACCTATCAGATACGAATATCATATTCATTGGTTATATAACGCCTCTTTCTTTGTTCAGGGTGGGACCCTATGTATCAAACTTACAGTAACCTTACAAAAAAGCCTTTATCACGCAAAGTCATTATCATTTTTGTGATCAGCATGTCGGATAACACCTATGCCAAGTTTCAGCTAAATCTATCATTTTATATTTTTTCATTTTATACCATGCTAGCTGCGGTCCCATTCCCGCCGGGGCCAAGGGTCCAAAATGGCCCGTCTGCTTCAAGATGTTTGCTTACCATTCCTCCACTTCCTTCAGATCATATTTTCTCTTCCTCTCCCGCTTTAGCTCCAAGTCAGTACCAGCACACGTGTAGTATCCGTGGTGAATTTGTCCTTCTTGACCGGCTCGCTTCGTGACACCGCATCCTCCTCAACGCAAAACGTAAATGATCTCTATCGCCCCTTACTAATTAACTTGCAAAAAAGGAATGATATAGCTTTTATTTTCCTAGGTGTTAGTAAACAAATCAATAAATCGATGAAGGACCCAGTGAATCGTCGCAAAAAGTAGCCAGTAGCCTATCTTCTGCGCCTGGCCTCATTTATAGGGGAGCAAATTTCAGCCTCATCGGTTCACAAACAAAGGAGTCTATAAGCCACATACTTACATACGAACAAATTTACAGAGATTGAGTTTTATTTATACATAGATACCTAGCTTAACCCTCATTGTGAAGCTAGAATATGACAGAACAGCAGCTGCGCTTGTAGCTTACGTCACAGCCTACACAATCGCAAAATTTAAGTGTATATGTCGAGAGAGCGGAAAGCATTAAATGAATTGCAAAACTTAGTTTCCAACTATTTGATTATTTATTAAATAAAGTACTTTAATGATTATCATTGCTCCATTGAAGGCTAGAAAATATATTGCGACCATTTTTGTCCTACTTGCACATCAAATTTCCGCTCCAAAAAACGCTCATGCTTTGTCCATAAATTCCGCAATTAAGGAAAACAGTGGCATCAGCGTTCTAAGCCCTTTAACATGGTAACAGAGCCCAGCACGACGGTGGCAATAGACACCCGTGGAACGACTTCGCCTTTGCCACTACCGATTTTTATGATTTCCCGCTTGATCTCGCCAGTTGCGTAGGTTGTTCGATTGGGCGATTCCCTCCTTAAAAAGGCCGGCGTCGTGCTGTTCCGGATCCTAACAAAGAGGCGGGGAGGAGTTGTTTTGGGACCAAAATTTTACATACTAAACTATAAGAGTGAAGCAGAGTTATGTAAAAATTTTGAAAACTTATGTGAGTCTTTGCGGTATTTGCGTTTCATATGATACAGCTCAATTCTAACTCTACTTATACTCTGATGGCCTTGAAGCGTGTTCTTCTTCCTAATGTACACGGTGTCCCAAATGTAAGTACTCACTCTTTGATCGTTGGTAACTCTCTTCTCAGGTAGCCTTTTGCTTAGCTGCAAGTACCATGCAGTAGTGCAGGCTTCAATTTAGGTTTATAGTATGGAGCAAAACACCTATGGCTCTTAATTGCTGTAAGATCGGTAGGAAAATACACAACGCCATTTTGAAATAGGCCAGCAAAAAAAGCTTCCAAAAAGCTGAAAAGTTATGTAGCAGTGTTTCAGAAATGCTAACACCATTAGACAACCTTGCTGAGAGTTTTTACGCGTTCCAATTGGTTTAGATTGAAGCACTGAAAAAAGGCAACTGCGGTTTACTTGGCATAAGTTATGAAAAAAAGCCTTCTGGAA